TCTTACTCCTCTAAGGTGCGGACTTCACCAACACTTTCCGTAGCTTGAGTCAGATTTCCTGCCCAACACAGGAGGCAGGGGAAGATGAAAGTGAGGTGATAAAACAAGCCGCAGAGATACTACTGCAGCAGTGTGCTTCTCTAGAGGAGATGAAAGCAGCGAACAAACCCTCAATGGATCCACGGTAACAACTTACTGAATATTCCCTTTCAAACTTTTGAGGTCAGAAAGATTATACTCACCAAAACTGCATTTATTTTATCAAAAATGATTAATAATCCTGTCTTCAGAGTCACATGATCCTTCAGAAATCATTTTAATATGCTAACTTGGTGCTCAAGATACATTTCTTCTTATTATTATCAATTATTATTATTAAAGGGGTAAAGGGGCTGCTTAAAGTGGTCATGAATTGAGAAATCAAATTTTCTTTTTCTTTGACATAAGAGGTCATTGTACTAAAAATATCCTGAAAGTTGCAGAACTCAACTTCCTTGTTAGTCCAAAAACACCTTTTATTGAACTAAGCTACCAAAACAACTGGTTTTGGATTTTTCTATTATGTAATAGTGTGGTGAAATAAATATAAAAGATGATTGGGTGAGGACTATTGAATCTTACAGCAATGTTGCAACTTTTTTTTTATTTTTTTAGGTTTTTTAGGTTTTTTTAATTTTTTAAATTATTTTTTTTACTCTGTCACACTATTGCTTTGTCTCAAATTGTTTTTTTCCCTGAGTATTTAGACTATAGAACCACAGTCAAATGTGGTTTGAAATCACCAGTGTTTCTTACGTCATGTCAAGTCAAGCATAATTATAGCGCTTTTCACAATATAGATTGCATCAAAGCAGCTTCACAATATCAATCAAAACATAATTACAATGTTCTTTTCTTAGTGGAAAAACATCCATGTTTGGTACAGCTGTAATAATAGCAGTATTAATGATTGGTTAATTAATTTGAATATCCCCAACTGAGCAAGCCAAAGGCAACAGCGGCAAGGAACCGAAAAACTCCAAGTAACCTAAGGTGTCCTAAGACTCCATCAGGTGACTCAATGTAGGAAAAAAAAAAAAACCTTTGGAGAACCTAGGCTCAGTTGGGAGCCAGTTCTCCTCTGGCGTTTATGAACTAGAGGCCGGATTTGCGTCACAAACTACCTTGTAACCAATCACGTCAACGTGTGGGTAGGTGTAGGTGTTATGATGAACTATATACCTTTCTCCACTGGCATTCTAAGTTGTTCAAAGCGTTTCTAAGGATGCTGATTTTTAGAAGGCGACCATGTGAACATGGCTTGTGTACCATTAGCAACACATTATTAGCTGTTAGATAATGTAGTCAAGCCAAAGGCTAATCATTCAATGTTGTAGAGAACGATACATAAAATACATTACCATTCTGATACATTAACTTGTAGACGGGTTTGCATGGGCGGGACTCATAAGCATATTCTTGGTTTTGTGTGTATTAAATGAAGCAATGGTGTAGTTATATTCAAGCTATTTTATGGCATGAATAAAAAAATCACAGGAAAAAACAGTTAAATATTAGTTTTAAGGGATTAAATGATTTACTACAGACAGGGGGACTGAAATTAAAATGGTTTTGTTTTTATTCCTTCAATGTAGTGAGCTTGCAATGCTGCTGTCCATGGCTCAAAGTAACCCTGCACTGTTCCAGATGATTTCAGACAGGAAGACGGTCGCTCTGCAGCTTGAAAGACTCTCAAAACTGAAGGAGCTGATGGACACCACTCCAGAACAACTGAGGGCCAGGCATACTGAAGACTGGTCCTGCTGGATCAGGAAATACAGGTTCAGAAAGAAAGCTTTGAGTTCTTTCGATTTGATGCATTCATTTCCCATTGGTATTCATTTCTAATGAAAGTGCATTGTAAAGCATTGTTATTTGAAACCAAGAAGTCCTAAATAAGACCTAAGTTGGTGTAATAGTTTAGGTTAGATTTATCCGTGTAAATTAATTATTATTTTTTCTACTACAATGTACTTTTGCTTATGTTGTCTATTTAATTCCCAAGGCAGCGGCTTGCTCTTGAGTGTGAGTCAGGGGTTGATGTGACAGATCTACAGAAGGAGAGAGTATGTGTGATGAACAACAACAACCCACATGTTGTACTCAGAAACTACATTGCCCAAAATGCAATAGAGGCAGCTGAAAATGGTGACTTTTCAGAGGTGAGATTTATACTAGCTTTGTAGATCAGAGCACCTAAATTGCAAGAGACACTCAGTACCATTCAAAAGTTTGGGTCAAAAAGATTTGTTAATTTATTTATAATTAAATACTTTTATTAGGCAAGGATGGATTAAATTGATCAAAATATACTAAGACAAAATGATTTCCAATAAAATGGTTCAAAACAGCTTTTCCATCACAGGAATAAAGTACATTTTTTCAATATTAAAATAGAAAGCCGTTATTTTAAATTGAAAAAAAAAAAAAATTAAGAATATTATTGCTTTTACTGTATTTTTGATGAGATAAATAAGTGACTTATTTCAAAAACATTTCAAAATCTTGCTGTCCCCAAACTTTAAACAGTACTGTACTTAATTATGTCTTGTTGTAAAGTCTTAAAAATGTTCATTTGCATCTTCTCAAATCCATTAGGTTCAGAGAGTTCTGAAAGTGTTGGAAAAGCCGTTCTCCGTGCAGGAAGGTCTTGAACAGCCAGGCTTGGAGGCAAGAGGGGGAGCGGCAGCTCCAGAGGAGAGAGATGAGACCAGAGGAGAGGCTCGAGTACTTGTCCCATATGACAGCAAGCCCCCCATCTGGGCCAATGAGATCTGTGTCACCTGATCATCATAAAACCTTTGTGACAACTAACCTGCTCATTTAAGCAGAGTAATCCTGCAGAAGCTGGTTAGGTGTTGGTAAAGGTATTAAGTGAGGTATTAAACTCCTGTCCACCAGTTAAAAACATGCAGTAAGATGGTATGTAGAGGCAAAATGAAAATCCAGCACGTTTACTGCTGTATATTTAACTGGTTACAAATGACGACTTAGACCACTAGTCTTACCATGACAGGTCTCAGTCTGAAAGATAGAAGTTGTGCCTCTATATATAAAATGACGTTGGATTTGAATGTAGTAGGGTGTTTGAAATTAAACGCACAAGCCATTGAGCAACAAAGCTCTAAAGCTTAAACGCACAAATCATTTACTTAAAAGGTATCTGTATCACTTTACATCATGTATGTAGCGCTGATTTAACACAGTCTATCTGAAGCTAGAATAGTATATTATTCATCAAATACACCTACTTGCAAATAGTATCCTGTATTTTATTTTCACTTCAGTATTTTCAGTTTCCCTATCGCACAGCTTTACCTATTCTGAATAGTGTGTTTACAAAATGCACATATTAGAAGTGGGCATTTTACATTTTCATTTTGCAGTCAACGGAAGTATTTTCATATTCTTTGTATCTATTCCTTAAAATGTTGTTTAAAACATGGCTAAAATAATGTTAATGTTTTTCGGCATAGTTTCAACAACTGTGAAAAACTTTTTCAGACATTATTTATATAATTTTTAAGAACTTCCCTGATGAATATACAATATTTCTAAGATAAAGTACTAATTTAATAAACATTACAAATAGCACATCTGTGTTCTAATTTTTGTCAACCAGAATTATTTTAGCAGTGAGAGTGCGTGGTGAAGAAATTTCCATTGTTTTCATTTAGTGAGGAATGTCGATGCCTGGAGCCCACTGCTTCAACATGTTAACACAGGTTCAGGTGTGCACCTAAAAATACTAAGGCAGATGATTTAACAGTGTCAAATACTTAAAGACCAAAGGAAAAACTCCATGTAATCTATGGCATATAACAGGAAATAAGCATTCTTTGTTCATATTGTAAAATACCAGAAGTTATGGGACTCCCAAAGTATTCATTTTCAAGGCTTTGGATGAACAAACATGCAGCAGTTCTCACATTCACTGAAGGACGAGCATGTTCTTGGATATTTGGTCTCAGTAATGCAACTCCTGTATGGAAAGCTATTTTGACATTTATTCCTTAAAACTAACTAGTATATATTTTATGGTACTAATACTTCTAATTATCAGCAAGTAATCCAAAAGTGACAGTCTTTTTCATTTTCCATCTTGAATCTATTATTCTTTATATAATAGCATTTATTCCTGTTTTGTACTAGTCACTACCCTAATAGTGACAAGTATTATTTATAACAAATTTCATTGCCATTGAAATTCTTTGGGAATCTGTAGTTTAGTTATTAACTATTCATTTCTAAATGTTAGTAACTAGTATTTTTTCCCCATTTATGCTCATGTCCTCTTTCAGTTTGTCTTTATCTTTTAACTTTAAATAGTTCATATTCCAGTTATTGTAGTACTCAAGTGAAAAGACACCCAGTTTTTTTTTTACCCTGAGATGTTCACTTAGGACTACACATGCACATTGGCTTGTCTAATCTTAAAAATAAGCCTTTTTTAAGATAGGATTCCCAATTCAAATAGATAGGATTTGATATTGGCTGCCTGGGGCGTTTGCAAATATGGGTGCGAGTGAACAGACTTTCCTGGAAAAAGACACTAAAAGCAGTAACTTATTATCTAAAGTAGCCTATCTAGAGAATAGCTCTTAGTGATAGTAAACAAAAAGATACAAACACTGGCTTACGGGTTTTTTTTTTTAATTACTAGTCGTAACATAAAAATGAAAATTAGTTCGGTAGACCATTTCACAAGATGTAAACAACACTGGTCCAGAAGCACTTCCTCTTTCAGTTTTTTTAACACTACATAAAAGCTGGGATAAAATACAACCAACAGAACATTTAAAACTGAATCAAAAAGTTAAACAAACATCTTTAAGATGTTTTCTTTACATGTGAAATAAAGAACACAGTTACAAACTGAAACAGGAAGTGTTTCTTTTCTGGACCAGTGTTGTTTACATCTTGTGAAATGGTCCATAACTGTTCAATCGGCTTGCCATTAAAACAGCCTCGCCGGAGGTGCTACTGGGAGAGGGAGCGGTTACGCGCACACGCACAGTCTGAACGCGGACAGGTAGATTAAACGTGTTCAGGTAAACCTGGAAATCACAGCTGCGGTACTCGGGACAGCACATTTAAAGCGGTATTCACCAGTATGTCAGCCCGATCAAGACCTGGATATTATCGCCAGGAGGTAAATAAAACCGCTTGGGAAGTCCCGGAGAGATACAAAGATCTGAAACAGGTGGGGACGGGGGCATATGGTACAGTATGGTGAGTTATTACTCTCATTATGTGTAGCTACCTACTTCCGGGAAAGAATCGTGATTTATATGTTTAAAAACACTTCACTGTAGCAGAACAATACGTGTCTGGGATCTATTCAAAATGATGTGGACGTCTGTATAGGCGACCACAACAAGGTCAATTTTTAGAGACTATTTTATGATAGATGACTCCAAAATGTTTTGATGCGGTCCAAATTCATACAGCATATTTGCGACTCAGTCTATGCTTTATTCATGCGTGTTTACATGGATATATAAGATAAACACAGAAAGTGAGAGTTTCAAAATTAAGTGCCTGCAAAAACGTTGTGGTTAATAATTGTTTAAGATGGCAGCTGTTGACTAATGCTGCCTGTGGCCAGGTGATGATGGTTTATTACGTTTTTGTATGCTTCCTCAATGTCCCAGAGGATTATCTCTGAGTAACAGATCTGTTCGCGTCTTGAGGCACGTCACACATAATCTGCCATAATGGCAACATTTCCACTTTGAAATTATGTTATTATAATAATATAATATAATATATTGGCTATCACACACCACCCCTAAAATCACTCGTCCTCAGACCAGACCTTCATATTTATTAAAAATATATTTAAGAAAAACAGCCCTGTAATAAAAATTGCTGCCTTAAAGGAATAGTTCACTTAAAAATGAACATTTTCATTTACTCACCCTAAGTTGTTTCAAACCTGCCGTATTCATTTCTTTCTTCTGCTGAACACAAAATAATATATTTTGAAGAATGTCTGTAACCAAACACTTGTTCACCCCATTGACTTCCATATATATATATATATATATATATATATATATATATATATATTTTTTTCCTATATGTTTTTGGTGACCAACATTCTTCAAAATATCTTCCTTTGTGTTCAGCTGAAGAAAGAAATTCATGCTGGCTTGAAACAACTTGGGTGGGTAAATGATGACAGATTTTTTTTTTTAAGTGAACTATTCATGTACATTTTTAAGTTCATACAACTTGGACGTTTTAGTGATTTTAACTTAAAAAAAGTTGCATTTTGTAACTTATAAAAAGGGTGGAAATTGCTTAACTCTCTTTGAGTTAAAGCAATGTAAAAATATTTGTTGTCATAATATTGATCATATTATTGTTATTTTACATAGCTACATTATGTGTGTTCAAATGTTTAATTCTTTGTGCATATCACTGTAAAAAAAATCTTTTCATGATTAGTAATCACAACATTTTTTCTTTTGTCAAATCAACTTAATTTATTTAGTTCAGATAACACATAATTCTGAGTTTCTGATGATTAAAGCATTCTCGTTCATTGTATTAACTCACTTTTTATATTTCAATGAACTTAATATTTTTTACAGTGTTAGGTGTTTCTTTTGCGAAAGCAAGCCTCTTTTGTGTTAAATTCTACTATGTATCAGATTTCTAATTCAGAATGCATGCAATTGTTTACAACTGGCGATTCACTCCTCAGCTATGCGTTTGACCGGAGGACAGGGGCAAAGGTGGCCATCAAGAAACTCCATCGTCCCTTCCAATCTGACCTGTTTGCCAAAAGAGCTTATCGGGAACTCAGGCTGCTCAAACACATGAAGCATGATAATGTAGGACACCAAAGATTACAGAAATTTACAGATTTACACTGTCATGTTGTGCTGCATTTGGCAACCACTTTCTCTTTTTAAATTGGTACAGGTTATTGGACTTGTGGATGTTTTCACTGCAGACCTTTCTCTAGACAGATTCCATGACTTGTGAGTATTTTACAATCTTAAACAGTCATGATTGTGATGGTGACAGCTTGTTTTGGATAAATAGAGGCATGATCATTTTCTTATTCTCCTCGTCTTTTGCAGTTACTTGGTCATGCCTTTTATGGCTACTGATCTTGGAAAGTTAATGAAAACGCAGAGACTGTCAGAGGACAAGGTCCAGTATCTGGTCTACCAGATTTTGAAAGGACTCAAAGTGAGTATTTTAACAATGCAGGCTCACACACCCTCGAAAACAAATTTTCATGAATCGCCTTGTGTTTACAGTATATCCATGCTGCTGGAATCATTCATAGGGTGAGCACAGTTATGTCAGTCTTATACACACATATAAACAAATATTTCTCACTACGAAACCTCACATTTCTCACTAACCTCATCTGATGCCTTGCAGGATCTCAAACCAGGCAATCTGGCAGTAAATGAGGAGTGTGAGCTTAAGGTATCTCACCACGTGCATGTATTAATCTCGTTTGCTTTTAGAAGAGATTAAGATTTGTTTGAAGCCTTATTGTTCCGTGTCTTAAATTAAAGATCCTGGATTTTGGTCTAGCACGGCAAACAGACAGTGAAATGACGGGCTATGTTGTGACACGCTGGTACAGAGCACCTGAGGTCATTCTTAGCTGGATGCATTACACACAGACTGGTTAGTCTCACATTGCATGCACTGATTTCTAAATGTTATTCTTAAATATCAGAAGTAGTAATAATAATATTGTATTTTTTTATATAATTTATTATATATTAGAGGTTATATATAGTGGTTTTATATCAGTGCTGCTCTCATAAAAGCAGTATAAAAAGCTTAATAAATTAGATATTCCACAATTACTATTTAAACTGATGATAATTCAGAATATGTGTTGTTTGTTTGAATTTTCCCCTCAGTGGACATCTGGTCGGTCGGTTGCATCATGGCCGAGATGCTGCTAGGGAAACCACTGTTCAAAGGAAATGACCGTATCCTTCCTTGCAGGACAACTGTGAATTGTTTTATGTACATATTTATTATGTAACATGCAATTGTGGTTTTGGTGTGGTGATTATGTCCCTAAGTCTCATCCCCAGTGTATATGAATCCTTGACCATTATCCGTCAGACTTGGATCAGCTGATGGAGATCATGAAGATTACAGGGACGCCAACAAAAGAGTTCACAGCCAAACTACAGTCTGAAGATGTGCGTTTCATTCATATTTTTCCTACTAAGATTAGTTTGCAGAACTCTCTCCAGATATATAATGAATACTTTCGAGATGTGAAAATCCAAAATCACATGGTATATATTTTTTTCTAGGCTAGAAACTACATAGCAAAGTTGCCAAAACTTAAAAAGAAAGATCTTCGGGCATTGTTACCAAATGTTAACCCACAAGGTAAGAGTGTTTTGAAAGCGTTTTCCTCGATCAATACAAAAAAAAAAAAAAAAAAAAAAAAAAAAAGGATTAGTGTGTGTTTATATGCTTTTAATTATTGTTATCATTTATTAAAGGGATAGTTCACTTTGAAATTAATTTTTGGTATGTTTTAGCTTATCTCAAGGGCAACCAAGATGTAGGTGCACAGAGAGTCGAAATTATGCTCTTTGAGGTGGTGGACCATAGACCTCCATTATATGACTGATAGACACAAACGGTTTGACCTAAAAATATAAAAAAATTGCGGAAGCTAAGACATCTACATCTTGGATGACTTGAGGTAAGCTAAAACATACCAAAAATTTATTTCAAAGTGAACTATCCCTTTAAAAACTATTTTGCTAATTGTTTTACTCGTTTTTTATTATGCAATTATTTTTATTTAATATGCATGCAATTTTATAGTTTTAATATTTGTACTTTTATAAATCCATATACACCAGGATCACTTTTAAATAAACTTGTGAAGGAAAGCTTAAAAGTTAATGTCATGTTATGTTTAAAAGAAAGAAACTCATTCATATAAATGTTAACCTAAAATATTGATCATTATAAATGTCCATGAACAAGTTATGTACAAACTACATTTACATTTATGCATTAGGCAGATGCTTTTATTCAAAGGAACTTTGGTAACTCTTTATTTTACAGTGTTCTTGTTGCACGTTACATGTGGTTACTGTAGTAATAACTATAATTATTATATATTATTATAAATATTATGCATAATTACATGCACCTAACCCTAAACCATTACATATAGTTAATAATTATTACTCAGTATTTACATGTGTAATTAAACTGTAACACAGACACCTTAAAATAGTGTAACCACAACTTTTATTGCAGTCAGTTCATGAATTCAATTACTTATCCTTTGAAAAGAATTACTCTTATTTTTTTTCTGTAATTGAATTAGAGTTACTTCTGATGTAATTGCATTAAATACTGTATAGACAATTCTATATAAAAACAATAGTGGATTAATCATCAAAATTTAATGTCTTATTTTGAAATGTTAATGTTACCTGTTTTTAATGTTACCTTCTCCCTTTAAATACTTTGGTCATTTCAAGAATAATTTATGCAATTTTATATTATTTATTTGAAAGAATTAAAAGATCCAGTTTTATGTTGATCCTTGTTTTGTTCAACTGTTTGAGATTGATAAGAGATTTAGAAAGTAATCAACAATGTAATACTTTTTTAAACCGAGTAATTAGTACAGTAATGTAATTGCACTGTTGAAGACGTAATTAGTCGCTACTAATCAATTACTTTTTTAGAGTAACTTACCCAGCTCTGGTTAGCACCATGCTATTTGATCCAAGTACATCTTTCATGCATACATTTGATGAAAACAATTTCGAATGTCACATACTTGTTTGTCACTTGTTGAGTCTATGTCGCTCTTCTTTTCAGCGATTAATGTGTTAGACAGCATGCTGCTCTTGGACCCTGAGAGTAGAATAACAGCGGCAGAGGGACTAGCTCTTCCTTTCTTCTCTGACTTTCGTGAACCAGAGGAGGAGACCGAGGCCCCACCGTATGACCATTCACTAGATGAGGCTGATCAGTCAGTGGAGCAATGGAAACGTAGGTTTCAACTGAAAAGCCTGATATGACTCACTTTAAAGGAATACTCCACCGTTTTTCAAATTTAACTATGCTATTCCCTTAAAGGGATACTCCACTTTTTTTTTTTTTTTTTTGGAAATAGGCCCATTTTTCCACTCCCCCAGAGTTAAACAGTTGGCTTTTACCATTTTCGCATGTATTCAGCCAATTTTTTTTTATATTTAGAAGAATATCAGTAAACAGACAGTTTCTGGTCTCATTGACTTCCATAGTATATTTTTTTCCTACTATGGAAGTCAATGAGACCAGAAACTGTCTGGTTACTTATATTTTCTAAATATCACAAAATCAGCTGAATGGATTTAAAAATGGTAAAACTGAACAGTTTAACTCTGGGGGAGTTGTAAAATGAGCCTATTTCCCAAAAAAGTGGAGTATCCCTTTAAGATCGCGAGACACTTAGATCGCACTTAACTAGCCCAGTTCTTTCAATATGGGCCAAGCAGAGAAGCGACCAAACACCTCCACGTTTTCCCTCACTCATCACTCCAGAGAGTGAGAGGGGCGAGAGGACTTTTCACAAGTGATGATATTACTGTGCCCGAGTCGAAGTGCTCCCAAGCACTTGCTTTGGTATTCCGCCATACAATATAGTTATCCGTTTTACACGCTTAGAAAAGCGCAACTTTTATTTTGTGTTACCGTCCTAGGTCGAGTTACACTGCTCTAGTAAATAGGGAAAACGTGGAGGTGTTTGGTCGCTTCTCGGCTTGGCCCATATTGAATGAACTGGGCTAGTTAAGTGCTATCAAAGTGTCTCGCACAGCAGAGCAATTGAGTACACGCACTGAGATGACAGAGGTATGTATCAACTTGTCTTAGTTTAGGGAATAACATAGTTTAATTTGAAAAAAACGGTGGAGTATCCCTTTAAAGTCGCAGTAATTGGTGTAATGCATGAGACAACTAGTTTCAACGTTTGATGCATAAGGCATTAATTAGCAAGTATTTCTTATAGGTGTGATAGTTTATTCTAAAGAGCTAAAGAAATAAACAATTTCCCTCTGTTCTCTCTCTTCTTCTGTCCACTTCCATTCCTTCTACTCCTTCTTTGACCCCAGGACTCACCTTCACTGAAATTCTGTCTTTCCGTCCGGCACCAGTGGTGGAAGAATCTAAAGAGACGGCTCTTTGAGAATGCTTATTTTTACATCATCAACGCTTTACATTTATACCATTTGACTTTTTTTACACAGTGAGTGTGCTGCTTTATTTTTCAGCCTTTTAGCCTGTTGTGTGCTAGTGTTTGACACAGATGAACTAGGCACAGCTGAACCATCAGTAGACCACCATCATGCAATTTAATTAGGAGATTTTAGTTTAGTTTGATTATAGCACCTTTATTTTATTTTATTTTCAAGCAAAGCACATGTCACTATCCAGCATTAATGCTGACATAATTATTACACTGAAATGCTGCAATGCAAATGTCTGTATAGTTTCCGTTTTTTGCCAAACCCCACAACCATATATTTCAGTATCAGAAAGAGTATTAACTTTTTTTCTAAAACCGTTTTCAACCTGACCACAGTCACGAATGCAGAGACCAGACAAATCATGCAATTATGCAAAGGAACCTGACAATGTAAAATAAGTATTTTTAAATTGATCACATTTTATTTTCTTGTATATTTTTTAAATCAGTTTGTCAAGAAAATTCGAATGTTTGATTAAAAAAACATATGGTTACTTTTCTGCTTTGGATGTTTCTAATTCTTATTGACACTTAACTTGTTGGAAAGGAAATGGAAGTCAACGGAATTCTGTCCAGCAGAGGGCAACATTTACACTTCTTTTGCGCTTTCTCCAATAACATTTCGCAGTAATAGTTTAGACAGCTGAAACTCACACAAGAAATATCACACAAGAAACTCCATTTAGACTTGAGGTCCCTGGGCATCCTCATCCTTTATTTTTATGTCATTAGTTTATTCATGAGAATGATGTCAATACAGTGCGGTAGTGTCTGAAGAGATGTAGTCGGTTCATTTGTTTACCTTTGCACTTCTAGAGACACAATTCCCTGGCCTATTAAGAGTCTTTCTCTGTTCCTGCAGCCTGTCTGTGATACCTGGCCTTTTGTTGGCCTCTGTTTGGAATCCTTGTGCGGTTCATGTGGTCAGAGAATGTTCTGCCGAAAGAGGAGAAGGAAAATACATTTGTCATGCTACTTCTTGGCAGCCAGATGTAACGACACAGAATGAAAGAGGAAGATAGCAAGCAAAGCCAGCAGATTTTCTCCTCTCCCTGTTTATTTAAAGAACTTCTCTGATTTCTTGACACAAACATCTTTCTTTGTTTGTTAGAATAAGCAGCTGTGCAGCACTGAACATAATAATATCACGAAGGTGTTAGTAAAAATCACTGAATTTTAAAGCTGTTCTCACAGGAATTCGAACGAATTTTACGAGGTGGCTAATTCGTAACAACTCGTACGACCTCACTCGTACAAATTTTTGCTAAATCGTTGCCTACATATTTTACGTATTGGCTAATTTGTATGAATTCGTAGGAAGGACCTACCCCTGACCCCGCCCCTAAACCTAACCATCACGTGGGTTTAGACAAATCATGCGAATTCGTACGAGTGAGGTCGTATGAATTTGCCACTTTTTAATCACTCGTACGAATTGGTCATGAGATAGCATTGTTCTATCTAGCATCTGATTTTGTGCTTTGGGTAGAACTGCTAAAAATTAACACTGTAAATAAGATTGTTCAATTTACGGTAAAATACCAGCAGCTTTGGTTGCCAAAACTTTACCGTATAAAATGCGGTAGCAAGACTTTACGGTAACAAGGTACTTAAATTTACAGAACTAAACCGTATTTCATTATCTAATATAATAATAAAAAATTATCAAACATTTAAAGTATTATTATCTGTTTTGTACCATTGTAATACACACTAACAACCAACAATAACAGAAGTGATGAGAGACACAAGATGTATGAAAGCTCAAAATGCATCTCTTCCACAAGAATCACAATAATATTTTACAGAAGCTACACTGTTTCATTCACACAAACATTAAACACCATCATGGTAACATGACATTTTAAAAAGGCAATAAACATTAATTTAACAACATTAAATATTACATTAAACCCATGTGTACATAACAGCAAACTATGAAGAAACAAGTTATTTTAACAAAAATGCATCAAACGCGAAGTGTCACACAGGGAATTGTGGGAATGTCAATTTGCGGTTTTTCACTGTAAATTATACAATGAGTTGTTCATTTTCACTTTAAAAACTGTAAATGTAACGGTGTTTTACTGTAAAATTACATGAAATATACCATTAGATCTATCACAGTTACTTACCGTAGGCTATATAGTAGCCTAAGGAAAGGTTCTGTTAACCAATTAACAGTTTTAACCAATTAACAGTCAACAGTCTTTTACCGTTAAAATCATGATAATTTTTTTACAGTGAGGAGGAACAAAAGGTTTTAATCTGAATTGTAATTCAGTGCACCCCAAAAGTATTTGTATAACAATTCTGAATGTCATTGCATTATATTTCAAGTAACATTTGACATTCACAGTTCTGTGATGTTGATGAGCTGCATCTGTGCCTGCCTGCTAGTCTATGAAGTTGAGAGAAATTGATTTCATACATCTACTAGAATCATTTATATGATGATAATACAGATGTTTTATATCTATAAGGGACATTTTAAGTGAATTAAGTATCCAAATACTTATTGAGGCTACCGTATGTTTATAAATATGCAGTTTCACATATATCTCTTTACACTGAGAACACTATGTCCAGTGATTAAACTGGTTGGCTGTCCCTGTCAAACATCCTGTCTTGTGTAACACTCTTGAAATGGGATAAACACAATATTTCATTGTTTGCTTATGTTTACATAGTTTAGAGATCTTGAACTATTGCATAATAAGTCTTACGGTTACCAAAGCCACATTTATTTCATTAAATTGCAGGAAAAATTGAAATATATTACAATTAAAAATATGTTTTAAATGTAATTTATCTCCATGATGGCAAAGCTAAAGCTGTCTTTCTCCAGTCTACACATGGTCCTTCAGAAATCATTCTTATATGCTGATTTAGTGCTCAAGAACAATTTATTATCAATGTTGAAAACAGTTTTTGTGGAAACCATGATACACTTTTTTTCAGGATACTTTGCATTTATAAAAACATATATTTTATAACATTATTAATAACTTTACTGTCACTTTTAATCAATTGAATGTGTCCTGCTGAGTATCTTAAAAAATGTGTTTTTTTACTGTCACCAAAATTTTGATTTGTAGAGTAGATGTTTAATAACCTCTCATTGGTAAGACACTGTCTATCATTCTCTGTTGCTTCATGCTCTCTGCATATTTTACTATCTGTTTTCTCTCTCTGTCTCTTTCACAAGCACAGGGAGACCCACATGGCTTCTTGCTGTTTAGCAGATCTTCAGGAATCCTTTGGCTTAGCGGGCTGCGCAAGAGGAAATTCCACTGGCTCAAATGTTCTCAGTGAAGGCCCCAGCATGGATCAAGCCCCCAGAATCCCTGCAACCCACCGCCTCCTCGGCAGGGACAACGAGGGGCCCGGGAGGAATGAACGTTACGGTACCACAGATGGTTCTCCTCCAGTCAGGAGACAAACTATGGTTAGAATGGTATTTTAAGTATCACCATGCCCATAAAAATAACTGTTAGCCAAAACATATGTGCGTGATCTTAATGAGTTCATTCTTGCCATTTGTTGCTTTGTTTTCATCCCACATCATGATGAATAATAATAATAAAGAAAAGGTGAGAGTGATCCCATTACAGATTCTAAAGTTTCAGCACTGTTTTTAGAAATGTTTAAAGTAGAAAATGCTTTATGTTCGGTCTTTTGCAATTGTGAGGGTCATGAGGTTCTCTGATGGACTGTATGTGTGGTAATATCATCTAAGAGATTTACTGAAAAACATCAAGCTCCCATTCTGGCTTGCATGGCCAAACCTGTCAACTGTATGAGGTTTACAGCCTCCTAAATACTGAGAAGGTCGGAGGTGGTTCCTTGACTTGATCTTTTTTGGAGGAATTTAGCTGTTTTAAAGAACAGAATGTTCCTGGTTGTAAGTGATGTAAGAAAAACACAACATCCTCCTCCATTGGAAAAGTTCTGGGGGGCTTTTAGATTTCTTAAGCACTACTCCAGGAAATTGTGGTCACAGTTTCATTGTGGTCAGTTATATGCAGTTGGCTCATTTATTATAACTGTATCAAAACTGCTCCTCAGTGGCTCTCTAAAGTGGTTTGTTTATTGCTGAAATTCAGTTTTAGAATACATGCTACTTTCAGTCTATTGCAAGTTCTTGATTTTTTTGTGTGGATTGTTGAGCCAAAATATGAAGTCCAAGCATAAATGAATATAAAAATGAATATTACACTCAAATATAATATTTTGTTTATAATTATAGGACTATTACGAAAACGTATTGAACTCGCTTGAAGAAAAAGAATCTACTCTGTTTTTCTGAATTAATGAGTTTATTATCTTAGAATCATGAGACAATTTTTCATGGAAAAAGTTTTTGTCCCTGTTTTTTTCTGAATTGACGAGTTAAGTATGTCAGAATTACGAGAATTTTTCATGAAAAAAAGTTTTTGCTCTGTTTTTCTGAATTGGCGAGTTAATTATGTCAGAATTACGAGATAATTTTTCATGGAAAAAAGTTTTTGCTCTGTTTTTCTGAATTAACGAGTTAATTATCTCAGAATTACGAGATAATTTTTCATGGAAAAACGTTTTTGCCCTGTTTTTCTGAATTGACAAGTTAATTATCTCAGAATTATGAGATAATTTTTCATGGAAAAAAGTTTTTACTGTTTTTCTAAATGAATGATTTGATTATCTCAAAAAATCAGAAACAAAGACGACTTTTTGGAACATGGAACTTTTTTCCATGGAAAATTATCTCGTAATTCTGAGATAATTAACTCATTAATTCAGATAAACAGAGCAAAAAGAATTTCCAAGAAAAATGATCTCGTAATTCTGAGATAATTAACTTGCGAATTCAGAAAAACAGGGTAGATTTTATTGTGAATGCAATATGCTTCCGTAGGCTATATACACACTGTTAAAAGGTTTGGGGTCAGTGAGATTGTTTTAAAATTGTAATGCTTTTATTAAGCAACGTTGAATTAAATCAATCACAAGTGACAGTAAAGACATTTATAATGTTATAAAAGATTAATCAAAGAACCCTAAAATAATGTATTACTGTTTTTAATGAATTTATCACTCCACACATAACTTCTTCTATAACTTCTGCCAAAAATAATTCTGTTTTCAAACAGCAATGTCTTTTTAAATAATGCATTTGCTTAAATTTAGCTAATTTCCTGACCAATACTTAGTGGTTATGATAGTTAAAAGCTTAGCCATTTTGGGCTTGGTCCATTTTTTTTTTCTTTGGCCAGAAGTGTATATACATTAATTACATGTAATATAAAACTTACCCGCACACAAAAGAATAACATTATAATTTTAAATTAAAGTTATGTTTTGGAAATTTAGTTTGGAAATTTTATAAAACAATCATGCCGCAATAAAATCCCACTGCAGTCATGCTAATTTTAAACTATGTGGTTCCTGTATTAAGTGCTTTTGTAGAAACTGATGGAAAACTATGGCTCAAAGTCAGAAAGTGTTTATTTT